CTCATGGTAATGATCGCTGCCATGTCTAAACTGATCCGATTGAGTCCACTCAACGGTCGAACCAATGACGCGAACGTATTGTTGGCGAAGAATGTCTTAACGAGTGGTCAGATGATTGGTTTGCCGACGGATACCATCTATGGTTTGGCCGTTTCGGCGACCAATGACTGTGCGATCAAACAGTTATACGATCTCAAGACACGCGACTCATGCAAACCAATCGCCATCTGTGTGTCAGATGTGCACGAAATCGGCAAATGGTGTGAACTGACGGTCACCGAAGAGCTGTTGGACGACTTACTTCCCGGTGCCGTCACTCTCGTCTTCAAGAGATCTGCTCAACTCAACGCTAACCTCAATCCGGGCCACGAGTTGGTGGGCATCAGAATACCCGACCATAACTTTATACGCGATTTGTGTCGACTCTGCGGTCCGTTAGGTCTCACTTCGGCTAATATCTCGTCGGAGACCAGTTGTCTGACTGTCAATGAGTTCAGTCATCTGTGGCCACAGTTGGCGGCCGTCTTCGATGGCGGCCAACTCGGGCGATGCGATCCGCAGCGGTTGGGCTCCACTGTCGTCGACCTCTCCGTTAAGAACTCTTTCAAAATCATACGAAACGGATGCGCTCTCAACACTACACTGGAAGTGCTTCAAAACAAACACCATTTCATGAGATTATGAAATGTTTTATGTTTTACAGATAACTCTCATATGATTACAATTAGTGTATTATTTATGTATTTGTTATAAATTATTGCCAAATAATTATCATTTAATTTATAATGAAATTGTTATCTATTTTTATGACAACTGTTTGTTTCACACATTTAGTAATAACTGAATTTAATAAAAACATATTTTTTACATAAATTTAATCAATAATTTAATTATAATTTTATTGTATTTCACAAATATTGATACAAAAACTACAAAATCATCAAAAAAAATATATTAAACTTTAAAATTTATTTCCATTTACGGTAAAAGCAAATCTCATTTGAGATCAAACTTCTGGAAGTACTCCAAGCGATGGAAGTTTGGTTTATCAAATTTGCCAAAGGGAACTGGATACAGTGCCAAATACTGGCGCTCGGGGTCTGTGCCGTGAATGGCAAAGGCGTTGAATTTGGAGAGCTCTGGCGGCAAGAGATGGCCGGGAATGACGGCAGAGCCCGTCCACCCTTTGCCGTGAATTTTGGCTGAATAGGTGTCCAAAGGGATGGGATATTTGGTGACATTGCCGGCGCCGTGCAGTTGAAGCAATAGGTACTGGCCTTTGGGAGCAAACTCTGTCTCGAGATAGCGGTCATCGGAGCC